TCTTTTTTCGTCTGGGGACACCATACCTAAACACAATATTCCAACATTGGTCGAACGAATGCTTCAAATACTCGGCTGAAAAGTTCTTTGTCAAAATTGAGAAAGGATCTTCTTATCGCGCCTAGGATACCCATAGCTTTCTTTGATACCTTGGCGCAGTGAGACGATGGTTTGAGAGTTGACGTCATGCACACACCGAGGTCTCTTAACTGGTTGACTGATTCGAGTTGGTGACCTCCTATAAAGTAGTGAGATTCAAATCTCAACGGCCTCCTTTTGCTCGATCGTAATCGGACAAGTTGGCATTTGTTACGATTGAGGCTAGGACACCACTCATCACACCATTGTTCTAAGCGATTCAGATTGTCTTGTAACTGTACAGAATCTTCCGGCTTCTCTATTGATTTCCACAATTTGAAATCATCGGCAAACATTACGCGCTGGCAGTTCAGACAGTCTAGGCAGTCGTCTGTGCCGAAATTGATGTGTACAAACACGGCTGGCCGATATTACTACTGTTGCATGGTGCATCGCCGAAGGACCCGGTTTCTCAGTAGGCTCCCCACTTTTCTATGCAGTTCCTGATATTTCAAAAGAAATGAGCTCCTTAGGAGAGATAACAGCATTTATTTCGTAAATTTTCGACTTTGGTTCCCAAAGTCATCCTCAGACGTGAAGTAAGTATGCAAAACAATTTAAATTTAAGCATGCCTAAAAATCGATTTTACCTTGTCACTCCTGCCAGTCAGTCTTTACTGTGGGTTGACATCACGTTCCGACTGGCTAACGCCTTCGCCACTTTTCCTTGAGATTGTTGTACACAGCGTCTAATTCCATGCGTTGTTTGACGCATGAGTTATCAGAATGAGTGGCCTCTAAAGATTCGCGGCTTTACTTAGATGAGCAGACACCTATAATGAGAGTCTTGTTCTATGCAAATTCGTGTCCAGTTTCCAGCGTAGGCGTGGCAACTTGGGACAGGCGGTCTCGCCTTTTTACCGCTAACTGATGTTCGTGTATGCGTGCAGAGGCAGAGTTCTCAGTTTGATTACATGCATACGCTGAAAGTCGGACATTGATTTGCATTGAATAGGACTCGCTTTCTAGATGTCTGCCCATCTAAGTAAGGCCGCGAAATTTTAGAGACCACTCATTCTGATTACTCATGCATCAGTCCACACATAGAATTAGACGCTGTTTACAACAATCTCAGTAAAAAGTGGAAAATACGTTAGCCAGTCGGAACGTGATGCCAACCCACAATAAAGGCTGTCTGATATTAGTCTACTGTGTGGATGAGTATGCACAAATCAGGTTCCTTCTTCTGTATTTAGACCGTCTGTAAGGAGCACTGTGTCTGGGCTGCTCGTGCGTTGGAAGGGACTTGAAGTGCTAGTTTTGGGTCAACAAAGTCTTCGCTATCTGGCAAACTCTCCGTGTTGGAGAAAGGGGTAGCTTTCCGGCCATCAACTGCCTCTGCATTTGCCCGGTACGAAAGTCCGACCCTTCCGAACAACGACCTCCACCGTGTGCCCCACAGACAGGAAGTATCACCGGTGACCTGCGTGTGAACTAGTGCGGTAGACTTGTGTAGAATCTGCTGCACTTTATTCACCGTCTCTGATCTTGGTCCGACGGTCCGATCATTTTAGGGCGATCGAAGGTGGACGCGGAACCGGTGACTGACTAGTCAAAGTAACCAGTCTACGCGAACCACACACAATCCGATCTCTCCGCACGTGTGGGGGGCCGCTAATTTTATATTGATGACAGTTTCATAAAGGCTACTTTCTAGAGGAGCCATTGCAATCTAACTGTCAGCTCGCAGAAGGGTCGAGTTATTCCCACGGTTGTTAAGCTTCCAAGCCACCGTAATGTGTCCCCACTGTGGGTCCTACTTGATCCCCCCCTCCCACGCATCAATCGACTGTCCGGGCCTGTTAACCAGCTAATGATGTGATTGGACGCAGTCGTTTGTGTCCCCTTATTTGATAAATATCACAGAACATGCACTCGAAAGCAGTTTTAGGTCCCCCTGGCTAAGCGCACCCGGATAAACACGTGCTGCTAGCCCGTGTGGTTCATGTTTTGGCTCAATCCAGCTCTTAGTGGCTCCTCAGGCTCGCATGAGTTTGCAATCACAGGTTGAGGTAACGTGCCCAGATCTTTCGGCCCTCGTCCCGCCTGTGCTTTAAAAGTAATGTATCGATTTTCCAATCACTGACGTGCTTGACAGTATCGCGAAGTAGTTATATTCATTTTCAGTTGGGGCTTTTCAGCGCCCTAATCTCCTCTTTTCATGACGTCTTCTTAAAAAAAGTTAGTCTGTGGTATGCGGTAGCATAGAAACGGCATCCTATAAATACTGCAACTTCCTGTACTCGAATCACCCGTCTCTGTCTCTGATGATGGGTTTAAGCATGAATCCGAAACGTCAGGCGAGTAAAGCCCTTGTTTCAGCGATCGCTTCTACTTCTTATTAGTCTGTGGTCAGTTATGGCTTATTCCACTTCGGCCACTTAGTTCTTTATGCGGTAAGATCGCAGTTGGTAGCGAGGCATACTACGGTGATACTGTCGGCGTACGTACTTGTTATCATAGGTGTGCTTACCTTGTCTAGGGAACTTGTTATCAGTAGGTGTGGTCTTGCTGAGTTAGGCAGGTCGCCCCTTTCGGTCACGCTGTTGGCTGTAGTGAGGTTTAGGGTTAGGCGTAGGTTAAGTTTTAAGATTAGGGTTTGCGTTTTAGGGTCAGGTTTCAGTGTTAGGATTAGGATTTAGGTTCCCGCTAGGGTTACGGTTAGGGTTAGTGTTAGGCTTAAGGTTAAGGCCAGGGTCAAGGTTAGGGTTAGGCCTAAGTTTAGGGTTTTGACTAAGGCTAGGGTTAGGGTCAAGGTTGGGGTTAGGGCTATGGCTAGGTTTTGGGGTAGCGTTTGGTTTTAGGATTATGCTTACGTTTCGGTTTTGAGGCTTAGAGATAGGCATTACGGTTGCCATCAGGGTTGGATTTTCGGGTTAAGCCTGGGGTTTGAATTTCCGCCATTATTGCACATGCTTAAAACTTCCCAGCACTTTCAAGGGTAACTTTACTTTTACCCTGAAACTCCAGCATGCCTCTACCAGCCCTTCCATTTAACCCACCCATATAACCCCCATTCCCACCATTCGCGTACGACAGGTACCTGGCTGTCCGCCTCCCCATTATTGGCTGCCAACTGCGATCTAACACTTTATGCTATGGGATGGCACGCCCATGTCCTTTTCCGGGTCTGCAATTTGGTATTTTATCACGAGGCTCCAGTGCAGATAAGGTAGCCATGTGTTCTTTGCCAGTGTCAGCAAACTATGGCCATCGTCGGCAGTTCTCTGATACCTGGTTTCCTGCCGGTAGATGCGCATACGCTCCTGTTGGGTATACAAGTGGTGGGCATGGCTGCCCAATCATCAGCTTCCCCCTCCTCACCCCCCTGTGGGGGTGCTGTTTTTATTGTTGTTGTTGTTGGTGAAAAATCCTATTCAAGTATATGCTGTGGCGGCACGCCTAGGTGCGTGTCCGGCCGTGCAAGCCGCCTGCGCCCTCCCCCGCCTACGGTCTCCTTGACTCCGTCTTGACACCGGGTCCAGGTGGGGAAGAAAGAGTGCGATAGATACTGCGCAAGTCTACATTCACTACAAACTAAATCACCGTGTCTGTTGCACCTCGTTGTGTAATACACGGTGGACATCGTCGAAATCGACGGTCGAACTGCCATCGTCGCCTGATGGTGACGATGGGTCTTTGCAGTTCTCCGAGCTTTGATGTTAGGCCGGAGAGTAGAATAATAGTGTCCTCTGTTTTGGCTGCTGGTTAGTAGGCAGAATTCAAATCCTAGCAATAGAGCCTCTGTTTCTCATCTGTTCGGTTTTTCTGTCAGATCTACCGAGATTCCGTCTATCTGGAAAGGGTCATTTGTAGACTTCTGACTCAGGGACTCCCTAGTTCTCTTTTGTATGCTGAACGCGTTTCCCCTGAACCCAAACCTGCAAAAAGCTCATCTTGCTGAAGATGATTCATGCCTAATCCGAGCATAAATTTATGCAAAAGTCAGCTTTATGTGCAGTAGGTGACGGAAGTCATGAATTGTTAATCAAGATTTAAAAAATGCGATTTCAGCTGGAATGAACTACTTAGGTGGGGTTGCATGAATGATTAGCGTGCAGTAGAACTCAAGGTGTTTCAGCCAAACCAGCATACAGGATTGTGGGTGCGCGTGACTTCCCCCACCTCAAAACGTCACTATTGCTACAAAATTGCTACTTAGCAGGAATTCTCCTCACTGATTTTCGATGCCCGGATAAATGCAAACATACACTGAAATATTTATTTCCATAGTCGTATCTTAAAATATGCATGTCCTCAAATTTGTATGCTCTTAACACGGAGTCTTTCGATTTAAAAAGCTTATGTTCAGGAGATTGTAAATATTGTGAAATGTCTCTGTCTATAAGGCCATTCTACCTTTAAAGCTACACTCTGTGCGACTACTGGCGGGGCTCTAAATAGTGCCCCAAGGCAAAACGAGACAACTGGGTAACCCAACGCGATCGCTGAGCACCCCTCTACCATTGTATGTACCCCATCATAACCGACAGGGCAATACACCCGTCGTCCAGTGGTTACGAGCGCTGGACCTCTAACAGACAGGATGCGGGATCGAGTCCCGGGTGTTCCGCACTTCAGGGTTGGGTATATTTGGTTGACGGCGGCTAATAAGCCAGAAATGGTCATTCCAGTCTCCCTTGTCTTTGTCGATAATAACACATTGCTAAATCGCGCGCCGCTGTGCGGCTGCTGGTTGGGATCACTAGAGAGCCCGTAAGGCACAACGGAACGAATGAGTTCCGTAGAAACGATCGGTGAGTGCCCCTTTACCGTTGAAATGTTACCCACTAGTCAAACCGAGTTAACAGTATTCGCCACCCGCATCTCCACTCAGAGATGAGCATCTGGCCAGTGGAGCCTCACTGTATTATGTCCATTGCAAGATGGGGTTCTACTCCAAGCGTATGGTAGGCGCCGCCATAAGGCTGCTGGTTGGGCTCGAGAGCGAGCCCTAAGGCACAACGGAACGAGCGGGTTGCGTAAAAATCATCGGTGAGCGCCCCTCTACCATTCTTAATATACTTGATAGCAGTCGACAGGACAACGAGACCCTGTGGCTCAATGGATTTGGCAGTGGACTTCCGACCACGAGTTCGAGCCTCGGGGTTGGGTATGACAGCCTGGTGACGGTTAATAGGCCAGCAGTGGCCGTCCAAGTCTCCCCTGTCTTTGTCGGTAATGACTTTCTGTCTTGATAGCCCCCTAAAACGGGCTACGCGGTAGATGCGCTGGACTAACCCGGGTTGGGGTGAGGCAGGCCTTATTGGGAATACGCACCCATGACAACTGGCAGCATTGAGCGGGTGGTGGCAGACCCAGGTACAGGTCCACGCCACGCCAGTTTGGATTTCTGCTATCGTCATACGTTTTCTTGATTTACGAAAGTCCCTTTCCAGGGAGACGCTGCAAATGAACTCCTAATAAGCCGCCTTAACTAAGTTGTCTCGGGAACCTTTCCAGCAGCAAGCGTTCGCATATCATTCTCCACTAACCGTATTTTACGCGGAGAAGGCAAGGATAGGCTGCCACCTCAGACCGCCTCAATGTGCACCTACTCATTCACTTGCTCCTGTGGAACAGGTTATATTGGTCGTACAAGTCGGTGCCTTTCCAAAATAATACGAGAGCACCTTCCCGTATGGCTAGCAAAAGGCGAAATTATGAGAATAGCCAGCGCCATCCTTGCGCATTCAGTGGTCTCAGGGCATCGTGTGGACCCCACTGAAGCATTTCGTGTAATATATAAGGTCCCCACGAGCTACCCTAAGCTACTGGGCCAGCGCCTGTTAGAAACAACAGAAGCGGCCGCCATCAGGTTGCGAAAACCGACCCCGTGCGCCCAGAAGAACCTCGTTCAGGCCCCGCGCTTACCGTGGTCAAAAGTTGACCACCTACATACAACATTCTGCGCCCTTCGGCTCTTGCCTAGCCTGAATTTTAAAAACTAACTGTTATCGATTTTTTCGTTCATTGTACCCCGTTCTATATAACTGTAGTGGTCTGACGAGAAGTTATTGAAAGCAACGTTTGCTCACCGCCTTTTCTTCTGAATTTACGAAATTCTGATCAGTGCATTTTATGGAGTAGAGGGTGTTGTGATACACCTAGGTGCGGCTTCTCGCTGTTTCATCCATCTGCGCTCTTCTCCGACTCTGGTCTTCTTGATTTTGTTACAACACCCGGCCTAGGTGGGGGAAGAAGAAAGAGTGTGGTAGATGCTTTGCAAGTATACTATCATTATAAATGAACTTACGCGCAAGTTCCTGTCACGGCTCCCATCCCGCCGTGGAGCACACGGTGGACATAATCGGAAACAACGACCGAGCTGCCATTTTGCCGCGAACTGTCTGTTCAGATAGAATTGTATTTGACCATTTCCCAATGTTCCTCTTGAATTATGCAGTACGATTTGTATGTACAGTAGGTGGGCTAACTCATGAAATGTCAATCAAAATTGCGAAATGTGTTTTCATTTCGAAAAGATTAATTAAGCAGGGTTGTAAAACTAGTCAGCCTGCAGTATAAGTCTACAACAATTCAGTTACCCCAGGATGCCGGCTTTCGGATGAACTTCCATCCGGCTGCATGCAAAAACAACACTGCAAAAAGTGACAACTTAATTAGCACGAATTTTTCCCATCGATTTTCGATGTTCTAAAAGTCCGATTTTATTTCATGCTTAACATGCATAAAATATTCCTTCTTTTGTTCATTCGGTAGATAATTGCGTCTCCTTCTAATTTTATACTCGAAGGAAGGACATAATTCGGTTTTCAACAAGTGTCTAATTGCGGGACTTTTAAATACCATGAAATGGCCGTTCGTAAATCGTCATGTCTCTGCATTTACCAATGTAACTTGTAAAGTTAACAATATAGATCAAATCCACTGCTTAATTTTATGATCCCTGCATGGTCCTCCTTTACTACCGTAGAGGACTGTGTGGTTTTCCGTAGGCGGAAAATATACGGCTTGTAGTTTGGAGACCCTGAATCCAAGTGTAAGGCCCGGCGGGTTCACAATTATTCGGTAATCGGAAAAGTTTTTGAAAACCGCATTGTAACCTTCCATCGAGTAAAAGATTGGAAGAAGATGTAGTTTCTTACCAAATGAGCGTAAGAATGAATATTTTTATGCATGTTTTCCATAAAATATAAGCGGACATTTAGATGCTTTGAATATCAATGAGAAAAATACATGCTAATTATGTTGTTATTTTTTGCAGAGTCTAATTTATGCATGTTGTCCAAAGGAAGTTCATCTGAAAGCTGGCATCCTGAAGTAACCGAAATATTATAGAAGTATGTTGCAGGTTGACAAGTTTTACAACCCTACTTAACTAATCTTTTCGAAACGAAAACGCATTTCATAATTTCTGTGGACATTTTATGAGTTAGCCCACCTACTGTATTATAGCATTTTTGAGCACTAAATGGCACGCTAATAGCAATATTGGAATAAGCGCTTTTGCTTAAATGCGCAGTTAGTAGTTTGGAAGCACTAGACGCTAGCTAATCGGCAGATTGTGTTCAAATATATTTAGAGATTTTCCAAATTTTTTGAAGGTAACATTTTCGTTTTCTAACAAATGCATAAAAGGGAGAATCTGTTTATGCGCCTTATGTGACATAATGCATAAAATGTGCTTAGTTTACCCAGAATCCGGTCCAAATATATCGGCTAAACTTTCCAATTATTTAATACACAACTCGGAGTGATATTAAAAATCGGCGGAAATAGTGAAGTTAATATCACGTTGTTTAGAAAAGCTGATAGAGCGGAAACGCTGAAAATAATTTCGAATGAGAAAAAGCAATTTTTCTAAGTAAATAAAGAATGTTTGACATTTCGGTCGTCGTTTCCGACCATGGCCAACGTGTACCGCACAACCGGGTGGGTTCAGGAACGGTGACTTGCGAGTGAGTTAGTTTGCAGTGATAGCGAACTTGCGAAGCATCTGTCGTACTCTCCTCCTCCACCTCCTCCTCCTCCTCCTCCTCCTCCACTTCCTCCTCCCATCCCATCTAAGCCCAGTGTCATAACAATGTGAAGAAGACCGGAGTGGTAGAGGATGCAGGCAGGTGGCGCGGCGCGAGCTTCCGCCTAGGCGTGCCGTCCGGTCACCGTCCACTTTTTATATTCGATGTGGATGTACATCTCAATAACGCCCTCCGGCCTCTGATCTGACCCTCGTTTTAATATAAGAAAACTGTAAATATAAAAACACAAGCACAACAACATCTTAGAATGCCAACTGTACACATACTTGAAGTTAATATCCTCAAAAATTCAGCTTGTCCAACAGTATCGCACCTCTCAGAGACAGTCGCAGAAAAGGGGGAATAAGAGCACAAGAGGCGCAGTATTTATAGGGCGCGGTTACCAGGCAACCACGCGCACATGCATATTCTTTGTATTTGCTTGCTTTCTATTTTTATATGTTATATAAACATAACATAATTTCATGTATTCATTTTTTGGGAAATTACACCTTCTTCAATTTTTTACTCAAAAAGTATCGTTCGCTTTTTGAATATTTTTTTCACTTTCCAAAATAACTTTATATATCAACCGCCGCTACGCTTACATTCAGAGTTTCCGAACAATATGCTTTACATATTCTGTCCAAGGCGTATCACATAGTTCTCGACGCTGTTAGGAATAGCTCATAAAGCGCTTATAAAATTGTGCAATAAATGCGGACATGGCTGTATACCTTACAAGTAGCTTTAGTAAAAGTGCCGATGTGGGGTTTATGACTGGAAATTTCATAATTTTATACTTTTTAAGACCGAGAAGAAAGTGTTTTTAAATTTGACGGTTTGAAGACGCCAATTACTATCAAATGAGCATAAGATGGATTATTAATGAGCATTTTTTTGTAAAATATAATTAAATTTACGGGGACATCGAAAATTAATGGGAATTCGTAAGGCCACTTAAGCAGTCACTGTTTGCGATGTGGCCATTTTAGACGGCCAAAAAGCCGACATCCTGTTGTGAGTGAAAAATCTTAGGATAATGATGCGCGGAGATTATTAGTACAACAATATTTAAGTAAATATTTCGAACTAAAGACATATTTTGGAATTTCGTTTAACATTTCATTGCAAGGTAATGTAGATTTCCATTCAAGTTTATAAACATTCTGCATAATCAAATCATACAAAACCATAATCTCCACAGAGAAGAAAATTTTCACAAAGGCTTATGCGAATAGGTAAAGTGCTCAATGCTTTAATTACAGCGAGCATCTAGATTCCCCTTACCAGGTTCGATTTAGATTATATTTGGATTTATAGGGAAATAGAACGTCAGTACAAAAAACACAGAATTATTAACTAATCGTTTTTAAAAATGTGTTCTTTCTTCAAGCTATTGGAAGAATGCGCATTAAAAACCGGGCAGCTTGGAGTGACTGAAGTATCATAGGATGTTATATGTTAGTTAATCGCGCAATCCCACCCAGGATAAACTTTCTCGCCAAAATATTGTTTCGGAATTGTGGGTCAAAGTTTTGTGACGGACAAATATGCAGCACTTGGTGATATCACCTGAATAGGCTTCTAAAGTCTAGACCGAGGAACGGGTGCATAGCCCTAGGCAGATCTTGGGTCTGTCATCCGGTGGATTCGTCCACCTGTGGAGTGCCTGGATGCACTGATACGGATCCGCGGGCACGGTAGGCGGGGAACTGGCGTATTAGGTGGTGGGGGAGGTAAATTCCAGTACTCAGGACCAATGACAACACGCGACGATTGACGGCTATCGGTACCCACCCTCAACGCCACCTTGCCGTCCGACTCCGACACCATGCAGGGATGAGAACGGTCATTACTACGACGACACCAGCATCAGTCCATCCGTCGTGTTATCCAGACGGAAGATCCTTCGGTCTGCATTTCGCCAGCGGGAAAAAAAGTATCCCTAACTACTATGAGTTACCTTTTCAATACTACCTTTAGGCTTGTGACTTTGCAAGCATCCCAAATGCCGTAAGAGTAAACATCGGCTTCGGTAAAATTTACAACAACATCTCTGTGACGTGTCACGGCGCAAACACCTGCTTCGTCTAAAATTAACCGGCTTACTGGCCATTTATTGCTGATGGTTTCTGAAAACTGCAAAAAGTGCCGTCACTTTGCAAGCATTTCGTATATGGCGTTTTTCGGCAGAAATTGCACAACTGAGATTTAATCAGTGAAGCGTCCTGGTCGAGTCCTGTCAAAATTTTTGATTGAACTAGTTGAATTTAGAATCTGTTGAAAAGACGCAGGTGTTCGCTCACGGCAGCTTAGCACATATTGAAGAAATGTTACCCTTAGCCGAGAACGGCGGCTTGAAACCGACTTGTTGGCTCACTAGTCAGTCGAGTCGAGCATTCCGGCATTTGACCAGGGCTCGCGTCCCGTTGGTTTCAAGTCTGAGTAGTCATTTATCGAGAGCTCTCATCGGTGAGACTGAAATGCCCCGGAAGTAATGACTGCATTTCCCGAAGAAGCCCTCCAGCCACTCTTCGTCATCGGGGTCATGCGAACAGTGCAGGATTCCTGAGAATAGCCCATTAACACTACCCTGTGGCATTGTGCTGACCATTTCCCCTCGTCTGGTTCGCTTTCCAAATCACTTAAACAGACGCCTACATTCATTTGCCTCTGATATTCTGTGCTGGGCAACTCATCTCTCGCAGCTGGTCTCGGAGAGGTGTAACTACAAAGGTTTAATTTGCCGAACTCTATTAATTTTTGGAAGCCCGAATATGTAGCAGATGTTCTGTCTGTAAGAAGAGTAAGTGTCATGCGACTCAGTCATAGCTAAGGTTCTCAGAGACGATGTCTGTCTTATGTAGAGAGAGAGACCCATAGAGAAGGGTGTTGAGATGCGATTGTGGTTAACGATAATGCTCCTAAATCAGAAGTTGGAGAGACAAACTTAGTCGGACAGGTTTTACTTATGCAAGAAGGAGACAGTGGAAGCAATTGTTCTAACAACAAAACCAGTGTCAGACGTTGTTAATTCCGGCTAATGGTGCGTAAGTGCGCCTAAGCAATGTCCGGCCTTAGCCAATCGGTGTCAGGGCGTCGGCCAGTCGATTGTTGGCCCACACGCGGCGCAAACAGTGAGCTGACGAGAGGAGGTTCTATTACTGTCGCCGCGTTGAACAGACCATCACAAGGGAGCCAAAAACGGTGTCTTTAAATTTGTTTTTTTTTGAAAAGCGGAAGACACAGGATCTCCTGTAGGTGGCTACAACGGAAATCCTCCTAGCGACAAGTTGCCTTCTTTATATTACGGCACACTGGCTCCTGGCGCTTATTTCAACAAGTTTCGCAACACTCAACAGTCAGGCAACCCCGATCGTCACTGCTCGCCGCTCCCGTGCACACAATCGATTCTTGCATGTCTATAAATGCAGCGCCAACGATGACTCGCCTAAGTTGCGTTGTCAGTACAATCAAGATAATATAGCTCCCCCTGATTCGCTCGAGCACTCAATGGCCAAGGACAACTGCCACCGGCTGCTGCAACAAAGTGTGCCACTTGGGCTGGGAACGGGATGACTGTCTCCTGACCTGCGGCAAATACTGCCACATCCGCCCCCCCCCCTAAAAATCTGTGTCTTAAGTCTTATTGGTCAGACACGCGAATACTGGCCCATTGTGATATATTTTTAGGAGTACTTATTCCATTGTCCTAACTCTAATCTTAACCATCCTAACCCTAGACCTAAAGTAGGCAGGTTAACTCATGAAATTTCGACCGAAATTCCGAAATGTGTTTTCGGTCCGAAAAGATTGATTAAGTAGGGCTGTAAAACTACTCATCATGTAGCATAATTCTATCACAATTCGGCTACCACAGGATGCCGGCTTTTGAAAGGACTTCCTTCCGGCTGCATGTAAAAACCATAATATGTAAGAAGTGATTACTTAAGTTGAATGTAATTTTCTCATTGATTTTCAGTGTCCCTAAAAATTTAATTATATTTCATAGAAAACGTGCATTAATATATTCATTCTTTTGCTCATTCGGTAGACAACTATGTCTTCTTCTGAAGAAGGGAAATATGTCGGTTTTAAAAAAAATACTAAATGTAAGATTTTTAATACCGTGGGATGGCTTTTCATAAAACGTGATGTCTCTGCATTTACCAATGTGGCTTCTGCATTTAGCAATATGGCTCAAATCCACTGTTGCATTTTATGAACCCCATATGGTCTCCTCCTAATATCGTAGAGAAATACATTTTTTCCGTGCGCGGAAAATATACAGCCTGTAGTTTGTAAACCCTGAATGCAAGTGTAACGACAGGTGGACTTCAAAATAGTTCTGAACTTGGAAACGTTTTTGGAAAATCGAAGTATACCCTTCCTTCGAGTATAACATGGAAAGAAGACTTAGTTTTCTATAGAATGAGCAAAAGAGTGAACATTTTTATGCACGTTTTCTACGAGATATAATTAAATTTTTAAGGGCACTGAAAATTAATAAGAGAAATGCATCCTACTTACGTAAGCAGTTCTTATAGAGTATGGCCTTTGCATGCAGCCGGAAATAAATTCCTTCGACAGCCAGTACCCTGCGACAATCTAATTATTATAGAATTAGGCTGTACGATGATCTGTTTGAAAACTCTTCTTAATTAATCTTTTCGAAACGAAAACGCATTTCGGAATTTCGGTCGACATTTCATGAGTTAGTTCATCAACTGTAATTCTAATTCAAACCCTCCTAACCATGCCACTACAGCAAACATCCTTTGGAATTTAATGAAAGATTAAGAGTAATACAGTAGGTTCGTATTATCGTGCCTAACCGTGTTTCGTTGTACTAATTTGTGTAGCAAGCCCCACATCCGCACTGCATCCCACCCCCCGTCCTGAACAGTCCTTTGCATTTCGTGTAAATAATCCCTCCAGGTAATTTTGCTAAACAGTTTCTGTCCCACTGCGCTTATTAGACCAACACACATTCGTTCGAGTCTGACGTAACGACGGGACTTCTGTTCTGTACCGTCGAGATGATACATGCTAGGGTCATACAGTACGTGGGTTAACTCATGAAATGTCAACCGAAATTCCGGAATGCGCTTTCGATTTAAAAAGATTAACTTGGTAGGGTTGTAAAACCAGTCATCATGCATCATTATTCTACAATAATTCAATTGTCCCAGGATGTTAGCTTTTGAACGAACATCTATCCATTCACATAAAAAGACCACGTTTTGTAAAAACTGATTTTCGACGTCCTTAAATATTTAATTGTATTTCACAGAAAGCATAAATAAAAATATTCATTCTTTTACTTATTTGGTAAAAAATTACGTCTTCTTTAAATTTTATACTTGGAAAAAGGTTATGACTTGGTTTTTGAAAGCTTGTATGATTCCCGAATAATTTCGAACCCGTCTGCCGTTACACTTGTATTAAGGTCCTCCAAATTACAAGCCGTATAGTTTCCACATACGGTAAACCATATATTTCTCTATGGCACTAAGAGGAGACTATGTGAGTTTTTTAAAATTTGGCAGTGGATTTAGGCCATATTGTAAATTTAAAAAGCTACATTACTAAATTGTGATACACAACGTTTTTTGAAAGGGCATTTAACGGTTATAAAAATCTTATAGTTAGAAACTTGTCGAAGACCAAATACTACCCTTCCCTCAAGTACAAAATTAAAAAAAGACGGAAATTTCTGCCAAGTAAGTAAAAGAATGAATATTTTTAAGCATGTTTTCTATGAAATAGAATTGAGTATTTTAAGTTATCGAAAATCGATTAGAAAATGCATGCTACTAATGTAGTCACTTTTTTACAGGGTATAGTCTTTGCATGCAGCCGGAAAGAAGTTCGTTCAATAGCCTGCATCCAGAGATAACTTAATTATCATGGAATTACGCTGGATGATAATTAGTTTTACAACCCTACTTAATTAATCTTTCCGAAATGAAGACACATTTCGGAATTTCGATTGACATTTCACGAGTTAGCCCACCTTCTGTGTGGTCCACCTCCAGACGCGCCTTCCCTCGCGGCAGCGTTGGGAACTGCGGGAACTACTGCCGAATTGGCCCTAGTAGGAATTTCCAGTGTTCATGCTGCCTGTGGGCCCACATAAACGCTGAACCAAATGAGGAGTCAGGCGCTGAGTCAGGATGCGCTGAGTCCAAGCGAGTACATTTGTATTGGAGCACGTCTTGGGTGGAAGCCCCCAAGTCGCGTCGGCCACGGTGTCCGGCCGCATCATCCACTGGTTGACAGGCTCAGACAGTCGAGCATATGAGAGGGACTAGAGAAAGTAACGTCGACACCAGGAAATTCGTCTTTGTCACTAACCAGAGCATTCCTCATTATAGTTACTGTGACGCGCCCCAACCTATCAGTTCTGACCTGGGAGGTTGCAAACGTAATAGCTAACTCTACCCTTGGCATGACTGACAGCGGCTTCTTTCTAATGTGTTCACGCTGTCTCCGCGCATTCACCTCACTCATCGGTCTGGTCGGCCACTCTCGACCCCATCACACAGAGACCAATGAACCAGTGCCTGGAGCACCAAGGTACACCAGAGGCGTTCGCCTCAACTTCTCTCACTGCACTCGCACATTCACCCACCGCATGGGTTTATTAGGCCACATGCGCATTCAAGAAAACCTGTGCTAGGCAACCACTAACATCTTCCTTCACTTACATCACTTATATCATCATCATCATCATCATCATCATCATCATCATCATCATCATCATCATCATCATCATCATCATCATCATCATCATCATCATCATCATCATCATCATCATCATCATCATCATCA